GTAGCCAGCCTATTGAAAGGGGGGGTTCTTTTTTTAAAAAAGTGGACATTTTTGCAGTTTTTTTCCTCCTTTTGTATTTAATTATGAGGTTCAATTTTGGTGACCTTTTATGCACTAATTTGTGCTGGATTAGCTTGTCTGATGGTTAATGAGCACGCTTTTTGATGCACCTAAAATATTTTATTATTATAATTACTCTACGTTTATATGGCTATTATATTGTAGTCTATTGAGTGGATAAAATATAGAAATCCTTTTAATAAAAAAAATAATAAAAAATACATATACAGTATATATATATATATATATAAAACTCCTCCCACAGGTGAGAAGGATATTACCCCTGTAGGGGGGTCCGGGGGCATGCTCCCCCGTGAGAAAATGTTTAATATTCCATATTTTAAAGCATCAATCTGATGCATTTTGAGATGCATTTTTTGCCATCTATCTATAAAATAGTTTATTGAGCCTTTTCTTTTAACAGTTTTAAATGTCATTTACTGTGCGCGTGAAGAATGATAGTGCTCTCCTGTGTTCTAACAACATGGTTAAGATACAGCAATGCAGTCCAGCAATATAGTCATTTTATGCGAAACCATAGAGCTTTATCTACAGATCAAGTATAGCCTAATAATAGTAACAGTGAATCATCTTGGAGGGAGTTTCATCATGTTGACTGTCGTAACCGAACGCAACGCGCTGTTTGAACGCTGAATGGAGAATGAATGACAGACAGCCGCAGCAGACGGAAACGTTTGCGTGAACTTGAATTTAATAACTTAAAAGTTAATTTGATTGTTTTTGTCGATTGATTTCATAAATCAGATTTATTACTTGTCCTAAACTACAACGAGTAAGATCATTCCCCGGAATCGATTCCAACCATTGCATTTTGAACCTTTGGAATCGACTCTCAATTCCCAACGCCTCGGAATCGAGGAATCGATTCTTTTTGGACTCGATCCCCAGCCCTATCATTCAGATGCGATGCTTCTTCACCGTTGGTTTGAAATTGCGAGAACTCTCTCTGAACTGCACGCGCGGCGCACACACACACACGTCCAGCTACACAATAATCATATTAATTTGAAACAGCAACCAAGAATATTTGTCACAAGCATTGATTAAAACAATGATGACAATAATCACATAAACATTTTTTTTTTTTTTTTAAACGACTTAAATTCTGGACCTTTGGCAGTGAGGGGGGTTCGTTCGAACCACCCGAACCCCCCCTGCCTACGGGCTTGCCTTCATTTATCTGGTGAACTCGTGTTAAAGCCAGACTCTAGTGTGTGTGTAATGTATGTGTGTGAAATCTCGTCAGACTGATGTCCAGCCAGGACCGATTCCCACATCAGGGAGTGTATGAAGTAGTGATGGCCGGTTCGTGAACGAATCGTTCTTTTGAACCGGTTCTTTTTAGTGAACTGGTCGAACCAGTACACTAAATCGGACTGAATCGTTCGAAACAGTTCGCGTCTTGCGTCAGCGCTGATCCACAAGTTAAAGTTACTCACTTTCAGACAAGCCTGACAGTCCCTCCGAATCGAAATAACTCATATATTTATATATATAACCGGTATATTTTACTCCAGTAAATCCAACAGTTCACTGAACTGAGGCATGTTGTGCTGAGAGAAATGATAAGCACGAGCAGCTGATACCACGCATGCGCGTTCTACTAAACGCACAGGTACACAGCGGATTGGATTATCACTGTATTATTTTAAAGTTTGGAAACACAACGAATGGATTGTAAAACTGTCAAACTAAACATTTATTATTATACTAAAATAACATTATCAGGAACAGCTCATTTAATTTCTAAGTAAGTTGATATAAATCTTTGATGTAAACTCTTGCCAAGGTTTTAATGGTGCACTGCTTAGTAAATGTTTATAATGTGTTAAAAACGTAACGTATTAAACAGGAGACATGCATCAATTTTTTAGTTTTGTCGACTGTATTCTGGTTTCAGCAGTTCTCAGCTCAGCACACACAGGCCTATGACGGTTCTCTAGTCAAGAACTGGTTGTTGCAGTTCTTGAATCACCAGTACAGAACGGAGAACTGTTTCTTTCGGACACGTTCGATACGGAGAACCGATGAGCTGGAGATACTGCGCATGCGTGATAACACCGTCTCTAAACAAAACTTTATTTCGGCCAACTGATGCTGTGCTGATACATGAGCACGCAGCACGGGTGAACCGAGGACTTAAATGAGGAGCCGAATTCGGCAAAATGTAAGTTTAATAACAAATAGAATGATGAAGACCATTTATGCACTTTATATCTTTAAGACATGTAAAACATCTGCGTTTACACATCGCCTGGTGCGTTTGCAAAACGTAAATTTAAGAAACTTATCCAATATGATTATGACGATGAGTACTATTATTTATACTATGAGTTATGATTACAAATGCCTTTAATTTAAAGTATTTTTATCCGCCGGGATGATAGAATTGACGTCATTACGTGATGACGTAAAAGAACTGGTGAACCGGTTTTTTGAACCGGTTCATTGAAACGAACTGTCCGAAAGAACCGGTTCGCGGAAAAGAACCGGACTTCCCATCACTAGTATGAAGAGTGTATGAAGAGTGTATGATAGAGTGGGCACATCAGCTCTGATCAGAAGAACCAGCATCAGTCACATCTGCGAGCATCGGGCCAAACACGAGTTCTGCATCCACGAGTAATAAAGACATTATTAGATTATCATAGTCAAAAAGGCTGAAAAATCACTAATACAAGTATGATTAACTTATCACTTTTGTATGGAAGATTTCCGCCACAGAATGAAATATAAAAAAGGTATTGCGACTTTTCCCCCTCACATTGTGTTTTATCTCGCAACACATCGCAATCGCGAGAAATAAACTCGAAATTCGGGCTTTTTTTCCTGAATTGCATGTTTATATCCCGCAATTCTGGCTTTATAACACGCAATGTGAGATATCAAGTCACAAGTCTTCAACATAAAACAAGGAAGTATTTAACAACACTGTCTGTGAAGTCCATGCTTATAATCAATTATACCTCCATTTATACTTATTTAAGTATTACTATTCTACAAATATATTAAAAAAGACACATATAAGAACAGTTATAGTTAGATTTATATTAATTGTGTAATTACTTAAGTCATGCATTCAATGCGCATGCTCATAACCCATTATACACTGCTTTATGACCAAATATAAAATAGTTCCAGAATAGACACTTGTTTGCTGCACCAATTTATGTCTTTAATGGCTAATATTTGCATTAGAGGTCATGAACGGTAATTTTGATTTGTTAAATCTATATCTCAGACATATGCGTCATATTGCTTATAGCAGTTTGGAACTATCCTTTAAAAAATATTGTGTTCTGCAAGCGTTACATTAAAAACAGAGATTTTCTCAACTGTTTGTTTATTAGTTACATTTACAAATAAACGACTTAAAATGTACGATGAGCACATCTTCATGATTTCTTAATCTTCACTTAAAGCCATCAACGATAGAGGTTAGTGACTATTCTCACTCACAAGAAGTATTTATCCAGTTTATACAATGTATTTCCTTACATTCCACCACTGGTCATTTGGAAAATAAAACTAACAAAATTTATTGTCGCAATATTATTATCAATATGAACTCAACTCTATTTTATTTATATAGCACCAGTAAAACCAACAATTGGCCACGGTGCTGTACATTATAGAACACCATCAGCATTCAACATGATGAAGAGGAGAGTCAACATTGACCTTTTATTGTATCGTTCTCATTTGTATCATTACAACAAATTGCAACCCAATACTTACATTTAAAAGTGTAATCTGGCAATTTCTCTAAATGAATCTGTCGCCGTCAGTGCGCGATGAACTCTGGGATAGGCAAGGCGGCGAATCTGCGGTATCCTTCATTTCACGGCAGACTGGGTTCAGTAAAAAACATAATAACTGTTTGCCTGCGTGGTCTGAAGATGATCCGAGCCAATTTGGTGAAAATCAGACGCACCACCGAGGACGAGTTCGGAAAAGTAGGTTTTTCGGAAACTTCAAAATGGCGGTAAAATGGTTATGACGGCACAGGGCCGAGTCGAATCGTCTTGAGGAGTCAGAAGGGAAAATGTGTTCTCTCTTATGGTCCAACAGTTATTAACAAACCCGAGTGCGAATTTGGACAGGTGGTGGCGCTAGAGGGATTGAGTTAGAGACTCCAAATTTGCTGTGTTGACAGTTCAGACTGTCCTCTATCAGTGTGCCAAATTTCATAACATTCCCACAAGCAGAGCTGCCATAGACTCAACAGCAGAAGAGCACTAATGAGGACAGTAGAGGTTTTAGACCATATATACAGTATATATAAAACATTGTCCCTTTTATGTGTACCCCGCTGTCACTTTTAATGTTTTATCTCTGTTTACCCACTAGAACACGCTGTTTTTAATAAAGAATGACTAGAGACACTCCTCAATGTTGATTAGTAACAGGTTGCATCGTAGCAAAAGGAAACGGCAGAACACCGACACACACTCAGAAAACACCATCACACACAAACGACTTTACAAACATTTATTTCCTCAACACAAGAGAAAAACAATGAGCGGAAATTGAAAAATTAAAGTATTTAATTTCTACAGGCCACATCCATAAAACCAAATAATAATAAAAAACGAGGAAATAAAAAAGAAGGAAATTAAACGTTTTACTTCAGCGTGTAAAGACGTGACAAACTGAAACATCTCGATAGGCACACCAACAGTCACATGACGCACGCGTGTATCTAATCGGACCAAACGGGACACAGGCGTAGAGGGGGCGGAGCAATCCTGTGATTGGATGAACACAAGACGACTGGTCTATTCTGATTGGTCCTCAGGCTGCAGAGTGCATTCTGGGAGATCTGCCCTGACCCAGGGTCAGTTTTCATATAAAGTTCAAAAGAATAGGATGTAGAACTGACTCTCCAAACGAACGCTAATCAGCGGTTTAGTTGACGGCTACTCGACGGGTGCGGCGGCGTTAGCATCTCCCGTCGCTCCTGCGTCTGCGCTAACGGCAAGCTCCGCCTCCTCCTCGCCCGCCTCCTCCTCGCCCACCTCCACTCCCTCCACCCCCTCCTCCTCCTCTCCTTCACCCGCCTCCACACCCTCCTCCTCTGTGGCTCCGCCCATCTCCATCTTCACTTCCTCGTCATGCCCCGCCCCGTTTCCCACGGCTTCGGCGACAGGCTCCGCCCCCTCAGCCTGAGGCTCCTCCTCTTCCTGTTTGGCCTCGTTCAGGCTTTCATTGGTGAGATCGCCCTCGGACACGTCCATCACCATGGAGTCCTCGGGATCCTGGTCGTCCTGGTTACCGTTGAACGGGTTTTCGCCCTGCGATTTAAAAAGCTAAACTCGTTAACGAACGAATCAAACAATATCTCAAACATACCGAACGTTTGTTAAGAGTGTGTTGAGCACAAATGAACACTCACCAAACGCTACAATGTAAAAGATTATTTTGTAAATAAAATGAACGTTATTGGAGTACTTCTACTTTAATTTCACGCAAGACTCAATAGTTAGGGATGCACGATATATCGGTATCGGCCAATATATGTTCATTTTTAATGTTCTCGTTATCGGCCCGGTAAGAAAATGTGTCTGATCAATTAAAGCCGATCAATAATGTATTATTCCCTCCAGCTGAGACTCTTAAATTGCGACTGTTGAATGAGGATTTTAAATTACTTGAAATATGATTGGAATCACTTCAATAGTCATGTGCTGTCTACATAAAATTATAATGAGAACACTATGATTTAGCACCTTCAATGGTGAAACTTTTGTTTTTGTAATCAGGCTCTCAAAAATTATATAAAAATTTGGATTTAGATATATCGCCCAATATATCGGTTATCGGCTTTTAAATAAAAAGAATTATCGGTTATCGGCTAAAATGTTCATATCGGTGCATCCCTACTCAATAGTTGAGTAACTCTTCATTTCTTTATAATTATTTGCAAAAAATAATAACAAAGATTTTAATAATAGGTAAAATAAGGGGACAAATCGAGAAGTAATTAAACAAATCTAAATTAATATCTTAGCAGATTAAACACCACTCCTTAAAATTAAACGAAGGTTTAAGACAACAAGTTGACTGGAATAATAAAGTAACAAACAAAACAGTAGAAACCGATATCTTAAGGAAAAAAGCTAAAATATCGGGGGGAAACGGCTATAAAACAGATTTAGTCTACCAAACGCCATATAAAAGAGTCCTAATTTTAAAATGCGGCATCGTTAAAAACCGGACAAATGACTAAATATGGCCACATGACTGGAGAAAAGTAATGAGTGTGTGAGACGAACCTTCAGGTAGCTCTCGAGCTTCTTGCCGATGACCTTGTGGTTGAGGATGCTGCGCGCCACAGACAGACTGGCCCTCTTGGACTGCTCCATCATGCCCTGACACACACACACACACAAGGGTCAGACCAGGCTCTCCGCAGGAGCTCAACACACTGCTCTGATGCGGGTTGTACCTTGCGGTTGTAGTTGTGGTCGGAGGACTTGAGGTGTTTCTGGATCAGCATGTACTGCATGGGGATGAACACGTCACACGCCGCGCAGTGAGCCGCCTCCACCTTCTTCATGAAGTGCTCCATGCCCAGATCTACACAGGAAGTGACATCATGAGCTTCGGGCCAGCAGGGCGTCACAATGGCTCAACACAAATTTATTTCTTAAATATTCGCTAAATTTGAATTATTTTCTAATTCTAAAGACAAATACTTAATGTTAGAGGGAGAGTGCTGTACTGTCTCCTCTGCCCACAAGAGGGCACAAGCGAGCGCAACCGGCAAACAAACCCAATCAATCGTCTTTTATTAAATTAAATGACGTTTATTTTAAAGTGCATTAACTTTTTAAACATGTATTGAAACAAAATATAATTTCCCTAATGTGCACGCTAGGAAACTTGGGTTACACTAGTGGATAACACTGTGTTTGTGCATCAGTCACCTGAGAACACGCTTCAACACACAGCGTAATGAACTACATGACAGGAAATGACATCAGAGCTTCTAGCCAGATCCCCGTGTGAGGGACACGTACCTCGCGTCAGATCCTGCTCTTTGAACACCTGACAGATGGTGGCGCTGTGGTTCTCCATCTGATTCACTCGCTGCTCCGTCTTCTTGAACTTATTGTTCAGATACTCCTATAAAACACACGCATCAGCTCATTAATAACCCTTGCGCATCACTTACAGAAAGGGACACATAGGTCCATAGTGGACAACAATGTCCAAGTCCCAAAAAAGTTATATAGGTTTAAGTATATGAAAATTATTTATGAACAATATTTTACATAATATGAAACATGTTGAACTCTAAATCTGCTAGAAAAATCAAAGCCATAAATCTAAACTAGTCGTGTTCCAAATTTGAGGTTGATTTGACATTTAAAACTCCACTGGGACACAGTAGTTGGATCTGGGATTTGCAGGAGAGTTTTTCTCTCTCATAGATCTCTCAAGCACACATTTTATTTATTAACCCCCACTCTGACATCCATACCAGCACACACCCACACAATCTGCATAATTTATCCAATTGGCTTTATAATATGAAGCAGAAAACAGGAATAAAGCGAGTATTTGCCAAACCTGAGAAAATGTCAGCATGTGAAAAAAAAATAAAAAAAAAAATAGTACAAATTAAATTTTTGAAGCCTTGCCAACATTTTATAGTTAAAGGTGCAGTGTGTAATATTTAGGAGGATCTGTTGATAAATGCAATATCATATTCATAAATGTGTTCAGTGGTGTATAAAGACCTTAGATAATGAAAGTCAGCGAATAAAACACTGACACAATGATGAACAAGTCACAATAATATTCACAATAACATTGTTTTACTGAATAATTAAGTAAACCTAATCTCTTAATTTATCTTTGTAAAGAAACCTCAGTGTTTAACTGGCGACTCTCTGCTGTCTCAGACGACGACATCACTTCCTGTCGGCCACTGTAACTTCTGTTGGGTGCAGTTCACAACCTCACCACTAGATGCTGCTAAACTTACACACTGCACCTTTAAATGGCCCTGGGATTAAAAAGTGCAGTTTTAAAGGGTTTCAATGGGGACATTTTTGTCCTTAAGATCCTGAGGAACTATTCTGTTTCTAGTGCAAAATAGTTTTTTTTGGGGGGTGAATAGTACAATTCTAATAACAATACACACCTGTGCCAAAATGTATGCATTTCGCATTAACACAGACGAAATTATCAAAAAAACAAAACTGAATGTGTGTAGATAGAAATGGTAATAAAACATAACGGTTCATTATGTAAGGTCTTTATACACCACTGAAAACATAGTTATGAATATGATATTGCGTTTCTGTGAACAGATCCTCCTAAATATGCACCTCTAACACAGGCAAAATGATCTAAAATAAACAGAACTGGAAGACGTGTGGATACGGTGGTTGAGGGAAGCGCCCGCACCTGCAGGAAGTCGGTGGTGGGCTTTGACAGCTGATTGGACAGGAACCTGAAGTGGTCCTTGTGGAACTTGCTCTCCAGGTGGGCGTCCATGTCCTCGCTGTAGAAGGAGCGGAACTTGCAGACGGAGCAGGCGAACATCACCCTGGGGGCGAGCGCAGACACGTGAGCCTCACACACCCCAGAACACACACCATACACGGACAGCAAAGAACCTGACCTGTGAGCAGACACTTTGACCCCTGACCTTTCAAAGAAGCCCCTCCTCTTCCTGAATTTAGATGCAGGGGATAGTCTCTGCTTCGCCTTGGCTCCCTCGTCTTGATTGGATGTTGCTAATGCGAGAGAGACGAACACAAGTCTTAGAGAAAATCAAAGCCATAATTCTAAACAAGTTGTGTTCCGCATGTGAGCTTGATATCTCAGTAAACGAGCGTTCAGTGAGAGTGTGTTCGGCTGCAGTACCGAACGCCTCCACTAGAGGAAACTCATTCATTTCCAATGCGCTCGTTTCTGACCGCGAGGAGCACAAGTGGATTAGGACCATTTAACCGGTTCGAATCATGTACATGACTGTTGCGTGTTCACACAGCAAGTCTTAAAACCTTTACCAAGTTTCTCACCATTCCGATGAAGTAAAAAAACAAAAAAATTTTACCAGAGAAAGAGCTGGGATTTCACTGGACGGGAACTAGATCGCCAGCATGTGGTGCACATCATCAGCGTTTACACCATAGATCTCCATAATAAAGGCTAGATGTCTCGTCCGCGCTGCTGGCCAATGGAGGTCGACGTCCACACTGGCGGCCATCTTGCCACAGGCAACGAGATAAGAGTATTTGTGCTGATCACTCATCTTACATTAGGCACCACAGAGCCCGCCAGAAAGCTTGCCTGTGACAAGATGGCCGCCGGTGATGACGATAGAGACTCCGCCGTAAGATATTTAGCCTTTACTATGGATATCTATGGTTTACACTACCCTTGAGATTGCGAATTGAAAATAGGCTCAATGGAAACACGGCAATTTCGTAAAAACTCATATATCGCAAAAACAGTTCTTACTGTCACTCGCGGGAGGTGCGTTTCAGGAGGTTCGAGAAAGGAATATTTCACTCATAAAAGACAAATAAAGCACTACTGGAATACTGGATTCTAAACAAAGAAATGCCAGAGTTTATCAAGAGCTTGAAGCAGAAATGAGGGAGAAACACACCGCTCAAGTATACGGGGTCCCATTAATGCTGGAAAACACACACACGTGTCTCCTTCCATTAACAATGATAGCTAGTGCGGCGGCTGAGCTATACGAGACAAACACGTCACATCCAAACATTGTTCATAAGCATCTCACGCCATGAGCGTCAACTTAAAGTCACAGCATTTACAACGCACTTAACTTCCATAATGTCATGCATTGCTGGGTGAAAAGATATTTAGTAGAGGAATTTGGGTTAAATTAGAGGAGATTTAGGAGAAAGAACTGTGATTTGATTGGGCGTGAACTAGATCGTCTACACGTCAGTTAATGGACCAATCAGAAACGGCTGGAGGCGGGACAATACATTTTTGCAGTAGTTCTCCTTACATTTGTCCACTAGTGTGTTAAAAACCTGTGGTTGATTTATGTATGGCTGATAATATCTAAGGAGAGTGAGGCGGGCACATATTTATGCACTGAAATCTCTATTCGATTGACATCTTTAGGAAGCAGGAGACTCACCAGCACTCTCTCCTCCGTCCTCTGGCCTGGAGTCCTGAAGAGCAGAGAGAAACGTTAGTGGTGTTTCTGGAACGGTAAATGACACGGACGACTGAAACAAACGTGAACGTACAGCAGCGGCGGCTTCGTTCGCCTCCTGCGAATCCCGCCTGTGTTCCTCTGTATCCCGGCTGTGTTCCTCTTTGGCGGCTTCTGAAACACAACACACTTATGAACACACACACACACACAGGGGAAGCAGAAGGCATCATGGGACACGGTGTGCTCGTACCGGTGGCCCTCCTCTCCCTCGCCTTCTCGGTTTTGCCCATCTTGGACTCGGGCTCGTCGTTGGTGCTCAGGGTCTGTTTCCGCTTCTTCTGTCCGTCGCGCTGGGACTTCACCTGCTGCGTGACATCACATATGCAAATGAGATCTGAGGTCACGTGTGTGTGTGTGTAGTCATGAAGGTGAGTCAATGATGAGGATCTACAACAGGTGTGTTCGACTTTGGTACGCGACACCACGTGACTGTTGCTAGCGAACAACCGCGAGCGCAATTCGAGAGCTGTCGGCTGGTGTATAGCGTCACATTTATCACACTGCTCAAAAACATGATCCAAACTATTAGGCATTTAAATAGTTATAATAGTTTAATCTCTAAATGAGCAAATGAGCTGTTCCGCTGGGTCCTAAAGTCAGTTCCCTCGGTGTGCATTCAGATCCACGTGGATATTATATTTTTAGGATTTCTATGTGTACTGAAGCATTCCTCACATTCCTACGGGGGTCAAATCTAACGTGAGGGAAGGATTTGTTACTTTTTTTAAATTTCAACCACTACATTGTTTTATGTGCATTCATGGTTCAAGTGCGACAAAAGGGACCCGAGGGAAGGATGTGGAGAAGTACATAAAGCGTTGAGTAAAAGGCTTTACTGTTGTGCATTTGACATTTTAGCTACGATCAAAAAAAAAAAATTCGTCAAGAAGCAGAACGTGTCTGCCTTCACGTCTCGGTTTTTAACTCCTCGTCGAAGTCGAAAACGACCTGATGAGGGCAGAGCATAAAAGTGTTGAATAAAAAGCGTTACTGTTGTGTAGTTGACATCTTCGCTACGATAAAAACGCTTCTACGTCGTTACGAGAACCAGAACGTCTCGGTTTTTAACTCCTGGTCGAAGTCGAACACACCTAGCGTTTTTTAAACGTGAACTATCCCTTTACCACACCCATTATCACCGCCCTGTAATCATGTGACTCTTTACAATTATCCTCCAGTGTAAGAGGTCAAAGGTCAAATGTGGGGCAGGCTGGGGCTCCTCCAGGGGTTGTTTGTTTGGTGGGATGAATGCACTTGATTGGCTCTGCTGATCTGTCAGCCCCGCCCCCCGCAGGGAGTGGGAGGTACTTACTCGGTTCAGGGGTCTCTTGCGGCCGCGCTGCCGGTTGGCCCTCGGGCCCCCTCCGAAGCTCCGGAAGTCCTGGGGCCCGCGCTGGGACTGGAAGGCCCCGCTGTCAGGGTACATGCGGTTGGCCAGCAGCGAGGGCAGCTTTCCTCGCCCCGCGGGGGAGTGGCCTTGGCCTCCGCCCCGCCCACTTCCGGAGGAGGAGGAGTCCTGCCTGCGGCTGTAGCCGCGCCCTCCTGAAGCTCCGCCCCTTCGTGGGGATCTTTGCCCCGCCCCCCAGTTGGAGCCCGAGAAGGCGGAGTCTCGATTCGACCGCATTTTGGCAGATCCGAATCCGTCAAAGCCGGACCCGCCCCCTCCACCTCCGCCCATGACCCCAAAGGCCACGCCTCCGCGCTGGGCCATCATGTCGCCCCGGGAGTCGCTGTACCCAAAGCTACCGGATCTGTAGAGATCTCGGGGGCCGAGGGAGGCGGAGCGCGAGTCGAAAGACTCGTATTGGTCAAACCTGCAGAGGGAGGCGCAGAGCAAAGGTCAAGCGGGGGACCATCGGCTGCATTTTCATCATGAGCTCTCAGATGACAAACAAACTCAAACCCTTCCACAGCCACGTAGTTTGTTTCTCAGGTGCATTGTGGGAAGGCTGTGGAAAAGCTTCAGAATGACTGGTTGCACAGATGGACATATAAGGCAACGAGGTGGAAACAGTGAGATAGCAGGGGCTTCTGGGGGTCTGCGAGGGCGTCGTTAGCATTATCTGGGACGCTAGATCTGGATGTCTGAACATGAAACGGGTATTTGTGTGTTCAAATGGTCAGGAGGGCATTTAAAAAAAACGGCGTTTTAACCAAGAACTGGGCATAAACATTAACAAACAACTTCCTCAGGGTAGACGCCACATTTTACTTTCTGAGGGGAAGATGTACACTAGAGTCTCTTCTGCTCAACAAGGCTGCGTTTAAGTGATCAAAAATACAGTAAAAAGTTTTCTATGTGAATATACAGTAAAGTGTAATTTATTCCTGTGATCAAAGCTGAATTTTCAGCATCATTACTCCAGTCTTCAGTGTCACATGATCCTTCAGAAATCACTCTAATATGATGATCTGACGCTCGAGAAACAGTTCGTTCTGGTGAGCAAACGTGTCGCTACAGTACAAGTACGTCTTTCCCTCACAGCCTCGGTTTCATTCGCAAAAACACTCAATATGGCATCTACCCTGACTAGGGCGACATCTAGACAGGATCCAAATTTACAGTAAATTATCACCAATTATTATCAAACAAACTAGTGCGACATGAGAAAATAATTGATCTGAACTATTTTGAGAGTGAAATTGTATATGCATCCATTTTAAAAGGCATAACCCCTGCGTCCGTAGACATGCATGAGCTTGATGTGTGTGTGTGTACCTCTCCCGAGTGCTGCTCTTCAAGCCTCCCTCCAGCTGCGTGAGCATGTCCAGGCGCTGGTTGATCTTGGCGATGACGGCGTCTGCGGTGGCGCCGGAGGACAGCAGAGATCCTCCTGAGAGATCTCTCTTCATGCGCTCGCTGGACCCGTACCCCCCGCTGCCCCCGAACCCCCTGCTGCCCCCCGACATCGAGTCCTTATAGCCGTACAGGTCGTAGTTGCCCGAGCCTGAGCCAGAACAGAGCACGATCATCCACAGGACCACATGAAGACACAACTAGGGCTGTCTGAAGGGATTTCCCTTGTGGTAATGTTGAGTGGCTCAATAGCGCGATATGCGGTACTATCGCCATTTATTTTGATTTATTTGTTGATAACCTTTTACCATGAGGTCAGCATGCACAAAAACGAGGACATTTTCAGTAACCGAAACTAAACGGCTGTCACTCAGCGCATTGTTACGGCAACAGACTGTCTTTGAGCGAGTCATTCAACCGTTCGTTCAACAAACACGTTCAAAAACGCGGAGTCATTAAAAGATAGATGTAATGAAACAAGGTGTTAATTATTTTTAACTCTGAGCTCCACTTTTCAAGGCTCAGCTGAGCAGCAATGCGTCGCATGGGTAACATTGATTTCCTCGCGCTGCCGCTAACGCCATTCATGGTAAAGACCCGTAAACGTTAAATGGATGATACGACAAATATTTCGCTTTCCTTGGACACGGCAAGCTTTCACGAATATATGACTTGACCTCAAAGACAGACGTCTGTGCAAATCACCACGATAAACAGCCTTGTTATCATTATTAACTTATTTAACATTCAATACATAGGGCCCTATGATTTCCGCGATCACGGAAACGCAGACGGAATTACGGAATTGGCAAATTAACGCGGAATCTAGTGTTAACGCGGAATTTCGTGGAATTTTACATATTTGGATTGAAATTCTGTTTTTGTGTGGGAGAAGACCGTATGTCTGGTGAAAATGCAGACCGGGGGACCTCCCGTCATTTCAGCTCCAATGACGGCATCAAAACAATGAAAAGCAGCTCCCACGGCTCTGCTTTCCTCGGCGAAAAAGTTAAGAAACTCGACGCTATAAGCCCTCAGTACCGAGCCGAGCAGTTCGCACGTGACTTTTATGCAGTGTTTCCCACACATAGACTAATTCGCGGCCACAAAATCAACTCCGGCCGCCACATTGCGTTTCGTTTATTTTTTATACGCTATTTAAATCACGCATCGTATTCTTTCCGTTGTATTTCCTTTCCCCGCTCTCCCTCCATCTCTCTCACTCACGCGTCTCTCTCACATACACACACACACACACACAAACACACCGCGTCTGCGCCTGACTGGACAAAAGCGAAGCAAACTCCGCGAGCGACACTGGGCGAGAGAGAGACAGAGTGTGACTTTTATTTAAACTTTAAACTAATATAATTTATTTTACTGGACAGTTTAAAGCTCATAACCATATTTTGTTGTTACTTGAAGAGTGCAGTGTCATGTGGCATCATGCAGTATTTGTCCTGAAAAGGCTACTGAGTAAATGTCTATAATTTAAGGTCATTCCTATTTTATTTGTATACATTTTAACCATTAACTTTAAAAGCACACTCTTTTTATGACTAAAATAACAGTAAAGGGTAAAAAAAAATTAATTCCCAAAAATTAAAATGGAAAAAACGGAATTTGGGAAAAAATAAAACGGAATTTGGGAAAAAATAAAACGGATTTCATAGGGCCCTAAATACATGAAGTTCAAAACAAGAAGGGTATAGCCTTATGAAAGAAGAAAACGTGAATATCGTGGTTGCCGCGGTTACTTGCACTCCGCTGCGGTTGGCTTGTCAGTAGCACGGTAATACAATATTGTGGTTATCGCGACAGCCCTACACACACAATTCTGCTGGATTAATGTAAAGTAAAGCGTGTCTCACCTCGGGACGATCCTCCTCCTCCTCCTCCTGATCCTCCCCATCCAGAGAATCCTGACGAGATTAGAAACGTGTACATGATGCACAGCACACATCTCAAAGTATTTGCGACGCACGTGAACATTCAGGCCGATAACCGATAATCCTTTAAAAGCCGATAACCGATATATTGGCAGATCAATCTAAATTTTTATATAATTAATGAAAACATGATTACAAAAACAAAAGTCTCACCTTTAAAAGCACACAATTATATAGGCCTATTCTATTTCATTATAATGTTATGTAGCCGATATGACTGCACGTCGCACTTAAGTGGGTCGCACACCGGACGAGAAGCGCAGCGCCGCGTCACGTCTAGGACAACTCCAGGTATCGCACACCGGACGCGCACATTCTAATCGCGCGTGCACAATTTTGAATCAACTCCTGGTAGAAGAGCTGCACGATGTGTGTTTTATCTTGATTTATTATTTATTTTTTTATGTTCATTGAATAATAGCTGATGTTTGAACGTTAATCAAGTAAAAGTGTCTATCACGTTGAGTCTGTTATTTTGTTGTAACGTTATCGGTTGTCTAGGCAACTATGTCACATAATACAATAGTATTTATTTAGCTAGCGTTTAGCTAACCCGAGTGAAAACAGCACAGGGTGAAGCCATGTGCATTAACGACGATTTGAGACAAATAAATGAAAATTTAATATAAAACTATGCAAATGGCGCTCTGTGGCGCGGCAGGGTTTTGAACAAGGTCCTGAGCCGTAGCTGGGCGCCGCGGACAGACGCCGAATGGCGCCGCCGGTGTGTGTACACTCATAGAGAATAATGTGTTCGAATTTTAAAGACCTGGCGCTGCGCGACGCGGCGCTTCTCGTCCGGTGTGCGACCCCCTTTATAGTGCATTTTCCTTTTTTGAAGTGATTACATTCGTATTTCAAGCTATTCAAACCCATCATGTTGAACAGTCTTTAATCAGTCAAGCCGATAAAGATATTAAAAATGTGTATCGACCAATACCGATATGGTGGTCGATGTGTCGTGCATCCCTATGATATACACTATTAAGAAGTCGTCGCTCTTTTCAGGCCTCTAAATGATATTTGCACTCAATCTCCTCCAGTGCTTTTGTAAAGTCTGTATAATTGTACAAACGTCCTCTTTCAGCTCGAGCTGTGTCTTTCTGTTGGCAAATCTGACCTGATTTTATCAAGGAAACGCAAGAATAGCATTGATATTGTAGGTAATATTTCAGCTGGACTGAAGCAGGTTTACTTGATTATCCAGACATCATTTATTAGAAAAATCATGAGTATCAAATATGATCAGGCTTATTTGTTCATCTCTCAATCATCATTATATTGCATTATAGTTTAAAACTACAAATCATAAAACGAAGCATTAAATATAATTTTACTAAGATAATATTGACATATTTATATGCATTTTATGTCTGTTATAAAATGAACTAATGTTTTATATTACAAGCATCAGAATTTAATATTTTTTGTCCATATACATATATTTGTCCAAACATGAACGCATAACTGGCCAGGCCACTGTCCAGAGTAATCAGGGGGAGGGGCATTCACTCAAAATAACATTTGATTGGACAGAAATGTAAATCTGACCCTTTAGTTTAGACATGATGATGTTAACTTAACTATAATTCGGTCTGTTTTCCTGAGAGAAAGCGTATAGAGTTGAACTTATGTAGGTACACTATACATGAATTTAAAGCCACAAAAGAACAATAGCACGAGGTCTTTAAGATGGTAGTGCATTCACATAACTGTAAATCCTGTAGATTAACACTGATAACCAAACAATCAAGCGATTAATCGCACAATAGAGCCTCAGAATGGACACGGCAGCCATTTTACGACAAAACGCCCCCATTGCACCGATCCGACACTCAGTGTCTATGTAATGACCGTGTGGGGAGAAAACATGGCGATTCTTCTCTTTCGATTCGCCATTTTAGACTCCAAACCGCAGAATGTGTAACTCGAGCAATCGGGCCTCGTGTAAAACATTTCACAGCACAAAAGCACTCGCGCAAAAATAAAGATTACTAGTTTGATCAATGTGGTAAACTGATAACGGTTTGTGTTTTTTTTCGAAAAGCGCGTTCGTGTGCGCGCTTCCGCAAGCAGCAAATAACAATGGGATTCACGTCGATATTTACAACAATCGTTGAAAATACGCTTTATACATAAATACTTACACAAAAGGAAACTATCTGATAAATAAGGTCTGAATGAATGATTAAAAAAGTGTTTTCCGCTTCATTTCGACCTGCGCCATTTCACGCACACAGCGAATCATCGAACTGCGTTACTCAAATACACAGTAATACATTATTCCAGCATACAAACGATTACATTAAACACAGAGAAATGCTTTTATACGGCGAATAAAGATTAAATCACTAACCTGAAGAATATCCTCGATCCATCCTGCTGCAGTGTTTAGTGTAGGTGTGACTGAACGCGAAGCGTCGTCAGCCCAGTATCAGGCCACACAGACTCCGCCCACCGATGGGGCGTGGCCACATGAGTGACGTGTGAACGAACCAATGATCGACTTCCAGCGGCCGGAAACAGCATTCATTATTTCAAAACAAAAGAGTGTATTTCACTGTCTGGGATTAACTGTTTAAAACAGTGATGGACAGCATTAAGTGCTTTAGTTGTTTCATTTATAGACAAAATAAATACATTTATAATCTATGGTTTCATTGATATGTTGGATAAAGCAACATGATATAATCACATTGTTGTTGCTGTTTTTAATGGATTGAGGAACTGATTTACTAGGGTCACGTTCTTGCTTTATCATCATTGTGAACCTTAAAATAACACATTTGTGTAGTTATAGAAAATCAGTATTAACAATTAAACCAAAAAAAATATGAACTGGTTGTCTCAACATGTAAAATGTGTACAGAAAATGACTTAACATTTAATTTCCTTTGTGTAAACCTGCAAGTGTATTCAGCCAAAATCTGATTTTAGAAATAATTTTTATTAAAATTCCACAAAATAGACAGAGTTTCAGCAGAGCAAGTAAAAAGACTATCTCACAGAGCGCCATCTGATAAGAGTATTCAAAGACAAAAGAGTGATTCAGAGAATACAAGAGCATTTTTGGTCCCCACATTTCTTAAACGTACACTTTATAAGATAAATAAAGAGGTGTAAATACACTGTTTAAATACTAAACTACAGCTCAAAAATCCCAAAACATTTTGGCCTTATAATATAACATATCTCTGTCGAGATGCACTTTGATTCGCCTGTTAGTGTTTCGCAGAAACACACGAAACTGTAACATACACAAACACACCTACATAACGTGTGTTTGCATGCAGAAAATCCTTCATGTTTAACAAACCCAGACAAGAACCAGAGAACAGCCAGAACCAGTAGTGTGAGAAACACATGATCATAAAACCAGAAAGCGCCATAATTTCCCGGTGTGATTGCATCGATCAGAGCTGATATGAAGAAAGGAATATGATCTGCGAAGGGAAGCGCTCAGGACACCGACGGACGTATTCTCTTCGCCGCCTGCTCTTCCACTGCAAACGTGTAGTTATACTGCAGAGAAACATCTGAGATTCACATCTGCTCAACCACACACACACACACACCAACACAGGCTTCAAGATAAAAGTCCTCAGCAGAGCCGGAGACAAAAATCTCTGCAGTGTTTTAAAACCATGTGCTACAATCATACAATGAGAATCATTAGGTATTATCAGAAGAATGATGAAATCACTGAAGTGTTGCGCCGGATCTCACCTCGTTCTCGATGTCCTGCACTGATTTGATCCGGATGTCACTCAGTGTGATCACAGACACCTGCACACACACATCACAGTTCAGCAAGCTGTTATTGGTCACTTGACTGTGATTGGTTAATGAAAGCATGCCGTGGTCGGAGATGTATGTATGTATAATATTTTTTCTAAGCTAAACTCTGTAACAACTAGCAACTCTTTCTCCTCGCACAATAAAATCATTTACGGTTTACTGTGCCATGATGACCAGATGATTGCATGTAAATGAGTGATGCAGTGACCTCTGACCTTTGTGTTTGACTGAGACTCAAACTTGGGGTGTAGAGAGAAAGGAACACCATCCATCGCTGAGAGAACAAACACACAAGAGTGACTGACATGCTTTTACTCATACCACATGTGTTTTATATTAGGAAATCTAATAATGCAGGATGTGTATATGATGAGATGTACATATATATACAGGAAACAGATTGAAAGGATGATAAGTTTGTCTGTCGCTGTACCTGTGATACCATAGATGTTGCTATGGTTACCGCTGTCATACACTCCCTCTGTCGGCTTGCTCATGTCAAGCTTACTGCGCCGACGGCTGACTTTCGGTGGGAAATCAGGAAGATTGCTATGGAGACAGACAGTCAGAGGGAGAAAACCACCCAAGGAACCACATAGCAACAGCCTAAATACTCATCACAGCAACACCCAATCAATCACCCTAAAACCCACATACCAACACCCTGGGAACCAGCCTGAACATCCTAGAAACTACACAGCGATACCCTATCAATCACCCTAAAACCCACATAGCAACACCCTAGCAACCACCCTGAAATATTTAGAAACTACACAGCAACACCCTATCAATCACCCTTCCCACATACCAACACCCTAGCAACCACCCTGAAATATCTAGAAACTACACAGCAACACACTATCAATCACCCTAAAACCCACATAGCAACACCCTAGAAACCAGCCTAAACACCCTAAAAATCACACATCAACACCCCAACCACAACCCCAAACACCCTAAAACCCACATAGCAACACCCTAGCAACCAGCCTGAACATCCTAGAAACTACACAACGATACCCTCTCAATCACCCTAAAACCCACCTAGCAACCACCTTGAAATATCTAGAAACTACACAGCAACACCCTATCAATCACCCTAAAACCCACACAGCAACACCCTAGCAACCAGCCTAAACACCCTAAAAACCACACATCAACACCCTAACCACAACCCCAAACACCCTAAAGCCCACATAGCAACACACTAGCAACTAGCCTGAACATCCTAAAAACTACACAGCGATACCCTATCAATCACCCTAAAACCCACATAGCAAGACCCTAGCAACCAGCCTGAATTATCTAGAAACTACACAGCAACACCCTATAAATCACCCTAAAACCCACATACCAACACCCTAGCAACTAGCCTGAACATCCTAGAAACTACACAACGATACCCTATCAATCACCCTAAAACCCACATAGCAACACCCTAGCAACCACCCTGAATTATCTAGAAACTACACAGCAACACCCTATAAATCACCCTAAAACCCACATACCAACACCCTAGCAACTAGCCTGAACATCCTAGAAACTACACAACGAGACCCTATCAATCACCCTAAAACCCACATAGCAACACCCTAGCAACAAGAAGCCTGAACACCCTATAAACCTCATAGCAACACCCTAGCAACCAGCAGGAAGACTGTAAGGCTGCAGGTTTTGTGGCCTACAGCTCTTCAGTCAGCACTAGACTACAGGAAGATCAAACACCGAACCACTAAAGATGCGGTAAAGCGACGGAGAGCAGGTGGGGATTCTGGCTCAATACACTGCTCTCGATACACAGCTGATTTGCATCGGCCTGATTTAGCAGTCAAATCACCCAAACACTGGAGTCTGTTGTTTGAGACTTTGAGTTCTCACTGAACCGGTACCTGGGTTTGAGCGGCTGGGGGGGTCCGGCTCCGTCCAGGGAGAGACTGCGCAGGTCCAGACTGACACTGCGAGGCTTGGCCTGAGGCGCCGGGCTGGAGAACGGGCCCTTCAGACACCACACCACGAAGCCATTCATGTCCCTGACGCACACACACAGACAAACAAACACTTAAAAGGGATAGTGCACCCAAAAATGAAAATAAAGTTGCGCTTTACACTTAAGTCCAATCTGTATGTTCATTTGGCCGGAAGCTAGTTGTTTTACTTTATAAAGTTTTAAATATGGATATTTTTCTTACACAAACGCATGGATATGATGGATAGATGCACTTTTATGATGGATAGATGCACTTTTATCATGGATAAATGCACTTTTATGATGGATAGATGCACTTTTATGATGGACAGATGCACTTTTATGATGGACAGATGCACTTTTACGTTGGACAGATGCACTTTTATGATGGATAGATGCACTTTAATGATGGACAGATGCACTTTTATGATGGACAGATGCAATTTTAATGATGGATAGATGCACTTATGATGGACAGATGCACTTTTATGATGGATAAATGCAATTTTAATGATGTATAGATGCACTTTTATGATGGACAGATGCACTTTTATGATGGATAAATGCAATTTTAATGATGTATAGGTGCACTTTTATGATGGATAGATGCACTTTTATGATGGATAGATGCACTTTTATGATGGACAGATGCACTTTTATGATGGATAAATGCAATTTTAATGATGGATAGATGCAATTTTACGATGGACAGATGCACTTTTATGATGGACAGATGCACTTTTATGATGGACAGATGCACTTTTATGATGGATTGATGCACTTTTATGATGGACAGATGCACTTTTATGATGGATAAATGCAATTTTAATGATGGATAGATGCAATTTTACGATGGACAGATGCACTTTTATGATGGATAGATGCACTTTTATGATGGATAAATGCAATTTTAATGATGATAGATACACTTTTATGATGGACAGATGCTCTTTTATGATGGATAGATGCACTTTTATGATGGACAGATGCACTTTTAATGATGGACAGATGCACTTTTATGATGGATAAATGCAATTTTAATGATGTATAGATACACTTTTATGATGGACAGATGCACTTTTATGATGGATAGATGCACTTTTATGATGGATAGATGCAATTTTAATGATGGACAGATGCACTTTTATGATGGACAGATGCACTTTTATGATGGATAGATGCACTTTTATGATGGACAGATGCACTTTTATGATGGATAAATGCAATTTTAATGATGTATAGATACACTTTTATGATGGACAGATGCACTTTTATGATGGATAAATGCAATTTTAATGATGTATAGATACACTTTTATGATGGACAGATGCACTTTTATGATGGATAGATGCACTTTTATGATGGATAGATGCACTTTTATGATGAATAAATGCACTTTTATGATGGATAGATGCACTTTTATGATGGATAGATGCACTTTCATGGACTTCAAAACAGAAACTGTCATTCACTGCCATTATAAAGCTTGGAAGAGCCAGGACATTTTTTTAAAATAACTCAGATTGTATTTGTCTGAGAGAAGAATGTCATATACACCTAGGATGACTTGAGGGTGAGTAAATCATGGGCTAATTTTCATTTTTGGGTGAACTATCCCTTTAACGGTTGAATAGAGCGTCTGATATAAGAATGTTATGATGAAGGGTCTGATATGAAAAGTGGCGAGCCAGCATGTAGCGTGCTCACCCCAGGCAGGTGTACTGCTGCACCATGTTCTTGTTCTTCGCCGTCAGTTTGAGATCTAGAACCGCCATCGTAACCATGCCCACTGGAACCATCCGCACACAGATGCGCTTCTTCTTCCCGATAGACGCCTCTGCACACACACACACACACACACGTTTACTCTTCCACAGCACGTCAGTAGGTCATGTCAGAAGCAGATCTGTCCAGTGAACCGTCTTACTGGGCTCCAGGTATTCTGGGATGTAACAGTAACCGTGAGGAATCGCCTCTTTATCCGACAACAACAGCACATCTGCCACGACCATCCCACTGGACAGATCCTACGAGACGGAGACAGAAGGGAATGAGTGAATTGCTTATTGATTGAGTGAATTAACCCTTTAATGCATCTTACCTTAGTGTAACACAGGAAGTATCCCGACTTCATCGCAAACCCTCGGATGAAGTTAGCGGAGCCTCCATCTTCCGTCTGACTGATCTAAACATACATGCACACGGTTAGTCACATCATATGGCCATGTGACCGTAGGTGTGAGTGGTTGTCATGGTTACCATGTTGAAATGACTGGGGCAGGTGGAGGTGTTAGACGCCCAGGCCACTGCAGTGATGGGCCTGCTGGAGGCGCTAGACGGATCGTACATAGACATCTACAGACAGACACATCACAAGATTTATTAATGATGCGCAACTACGCCAGGTTGTAATTACCAGATTCCAACTTGTAAAAAGCATTCAAATGCTTTCATGGATAATTCCTAATTAATTACAACTTATAAAAAGGCAATTTTCTGAGAACTCCAACTTGTACCACCTAACCGCTGCAGATTGTTGATAATGTTAAAAAATAAATATATATTGTTGATGATGTTCCCATAGAAACGCATAATTCTGAGTCCGAGGACGTGAAGCTCCGAGTAGAACGTCACGTGACATCTCGTATTTATGGTAAATATGGTATGACTTCAACTCAGCATCATTATGACCTATTCAAACTTATAGGAAAATGAGTAAACATAAGATCATCATCAACAAAAACTCTTCATGATCGAAAAGGAACATGAGTAAACGGAGATCATCATCAACCAAAATGATCTCTACGTGATCGAAAAGAATCTCACGTCTATCAGTTAATCACACGTTTAATACTGTTTTCACTGGTTTATCAGCTCGATACAGCGCGATCATCTTATTGTTTCATTAGTTTCAAACTTGCGATATAATCAGCATTAACACCAGCATTTAAACATTAACCTGGTTATAAGCGGCTTTAATGAACACGTGAGGCGAAATTCAGTACTTACAGGCTGTTGGTTATGAAGTTTATTCTCGATTCAAAACAGTGAAACTGAACTCAACTCACTCTCGCAGTCAAAGAACAGGAAGAACTAACGACTACAACTCCCATGATGCACCGCGGCGACGTCACGGAGGACTGCGCATGCTCAGAGAGGTATTTTTCGTACTGTTCGGTTCTAAAGGTTCTAAACCCTCTATGTTCTAAACCAGTTTCTTCAGCGGACTTCTAAGGGACCTCAAGATGACTTAAAATGACTCAAAATAAAGACAAAATACCTTTGAAACAACAAAAGATCAAGATATTTTTATTTTAACTCAGCACCTCAATACCTTTATTTTTTCCTTTGAAGAATTATAAAAGCCTGGAAAAGTCATGCAAATTAATAAAATATTACAACTTCATTGGCATTTTTATAAATTTGTATGACTATGAATAAATATTTTTATAAGTTCTAAAAGTTCTAAAATATTTCATCTGGTAAAAAATTGTAAGTAAAAATATTTTTTTTAAATCCTTATCCTTAAAGCTCCAGTCCGTAACTTTTTTAAGTTAAAAATAATCCAAAATAATTATATTAAAAAAAAACAATTCTGCCAGTGGTCAAAACTATCTGCTTGCCATAGCTAGATTCAAAACGGTTAGCTTGTAATAATGATTTTAATTCCAGTGGTACTGGTGGGTTTCCGCGGGAAATTCGAGCATGTCTTTGCGTCATGACGTCACACCCGTACACATAAAGAAGGAGTTTCGGCTAGCCGGCTATACTGCGGGTGACGAGATGTTTAGATGTATAGGCTTTTCTCGCAGCACTTTACATGATTAAACTTATGGCATCCAGAAAGATCCAAACAACAATCATCAGTGTCAACTGGAGATTCAGCAGTTATAAAACCCAAAAGACTTCGTACTTCGGATTTAAGGTGGCTAGAGAAAGAGAAAGAAACCGTCTCATGCGAACACAAGGATTTAAACATCGGCGGGGCTTTTGAAAAGTGCGTGAACTCCGTGTTTTGCAGGGATTCGAAACGGAAGAAGAGACGGCTTTTTTTCTGCTGAACAAGTAAGACATTTCAATAGTTCAATCGTGTAACAGTACGTTTTCTTAATTCATACAGTTATGGAGTTTCCTTTGTTGTGCCTTTCTCGTTTAGCTATTATGGAGAATATGAATTCTGAACTACACAGGTAACCATAAAACACATTACATTTAACATTAGTCACGCAATGCTGATGTTGTTAACATGAACAATTTGAGAACAAAGTAGGCTATAATTTGCACGGTTGCTGTAAATCGCGTTGATTAAATCTAACGAAGCTTATCATGTCGAATGCTTTTCCCCCTTAGTTGGTCAGAACAAAAATGGATGTTACTTACTTGTTCAGAAGACATTTTCTTATGAAAGTTCTTATGTTGGTCAAACTTTCAAAAAGTGAATCTGTGATTCTGTATGCCAGTATCCACACAGCGCGGTGACTGACAGCAGCACTCGCCTCAAAGCACTGTGTTCATCCGCGCTGTTTCATGCCGATTTACAACCCACGTAAAGATGATAATTCCGCGAATCACTGCAGTTACAGATTTCGAACAGAGAGATGGCGACAAAGAGGAAAAAATACGGACTGCAGCTTTAAATCATGAACATGCGATGAAAAGGTAAACTACAAAAATAAATACAATTTAAAATATTGAAATAACTATAACAGTATCTCATTGATAGTAAAATAATACTAAATTAATAAATGAAAGGTAAAATAAATGATGATTAAATGAATAATATTTAGAGAAGCAGTTCTTAATATTCAGGTTTCATATTGGTGGATTTTTGCTTTACAAATTGTATTAATTTAATTAAACATGTTAATAACCATATTAATGTACTGAGTTTGCATATAAAATTTAAAAAATGACAAGACCTGATACATGTATTTTTTTATTCATTTGATTTTTACAGACATAAACATTCAGAAGGTACATCTCACAACATTTGTTCTATTTTTTTTTCCCCCAACAAAGGACCCAACAAAGGACCTTTTAGAAACTGAAGATGCATTTTTCCACTTTTAGCAGAGTAAAATAAGATCAGTAAACGTTCACATGCGTCAGTCATGCAGAATCAACAGTCATATCAGTGCGGGGAAACACACAAGGTCTCCCAGGTGTTAATCAGTGTGTGGTTCGTCGCTGTCCCGGGCCGTCCTGATGAAGTGCATCAGCGTGAGCTCGTACAGCACCTGGTGTCCGTTGTTCCAGGTGTACAGCGCTCGTGTGCGCGGGTTGTAGTCCAGCATGGAGATGTGCGAGTACAGGTTGTGGAAGGGGATGTCGGTGTACTCGTAGGACGCCGTGTCCGTGTGGAAGCTGAAGTGGACCTTCGCTCCGGCCAGGTGTGAGTCGGTGACGTACAGCGTCCCGCAGATGAGGAAGGCCTCGCCGGCGCTGCGTTTGGGGAAGCCCGTGTCCCAGGAGCGCTGGACCTCGAGTGTGTGCGGGTCGAGCCGGCTCAGCACCAGAGTCCCCGCGTGAGGGGTGGAGCTGTACGCGGTCCACAGGCCCAGCTCGTCCGCCATGAGGTCGATGTCGGACGAGCCGCCCCACGAGTACGGGAAGGTGTTGTTGAACCCGGCCTGATGGAGCCGCTGCTGGTGCTGGACGACACCCGACGCCAGGTTATAGCGGATCAACACGTTACTGTGGTGTTTGGTGTAGTACAGGGAGCCGTTGTACACCACGTGACCCGTACCTGAGACACACACACACACATAACACTGTTTACATCTCACAGTTCAGGAAAAATATGGAATTAGACAGACAGACAGCTTATAGATAGATAGATAGATAGATAGATAGATAGATAGATAGATAGATAGATGTTTTAGTCACACTCATTCATACCTGCCCACGGGTGAAGAAGATGATGGATGATGAAGTTCTGCCCATTGGCGAAGTCATCGAGCGACTTATACTCCACCAGACGCCTGCCCTTCAAATACCCATCCATCACCCACACCTACACACACACACACACACCTTTAAAATAAGCTAAAACAGCAAAAAATCTAGATATTTTTTGATGAAGATGAAGAATGTCTAGGTAACTAATGTAAACCCGGTTCCTTGAAAGAGGGAACGGAAACGTTACGTCAGAACTCAACTGACGAACTGGTATCTCGCCTGAGAGGCCAATCACGTTCGAGTGGTCACAGAACAGCCAATGCACATTGGTGAGTGAGATTTGCACCGCAAGCAGCTCCCCAGCTTCCAGGTATATAAGGCACCATGCGAATACTCGCATTACTCACATGGCGGGCGAGTTGCGACATATGACGGTAGCGGGGACCACCTTGCCATGTGCCCCAGGAGCCTCTGAACTCCATACAGAGGAAAGAGATTCTCTGCAAGGGGGAGAACTTGCTCTTTTCCCAGTTGACCCGAAGCCCCAGCTGGCTGAGGTGCGTTACCAAACATATCCCTGTGTTCGCATAACTGATCTTGCGACTGGGCCAGTATGAGAGTAAGTGTGCTTCTGGTCGATCGCTGCAATCCAATCTCGGCTGCGAACACACGTAAGAATGCGTTTCTGCGTCAGGATCTTGAACAGGAGCTTGTGAAGGGCCATGTTCAAGAGGTAAAGGTCCATGATCAGTCATAAACTACCGCATTTCTTGGCCACATTGAAGAATGGGCTGTAGGGCTAGGGGTTCAGCACCAGACAGACTGGTGTTGGCAACAGCATCACATCGGGGCAGAATATGTCTGATCGACTCTGTCTGCTTCTGTAATTTATTCACACCTCTACTATTGAATTCAACGTATCATCAGCGTTTGGATTTGCTTCCATGGTGCTGTCAAGTATGACTCGCAGTCTGTGAGGTGATCTAAACACTATTGACTATTTAAAAAGGGGGAGGAGCCATTCAATATGTTCCGCCTTAGCTTCCTGTTTCAGTGGAAATTACCTCAACGCATCAAGCAAACCTGCGCGTTCCAAGGCACTTCAGTGGGTCTTCAAAGCCCTTGGATGGGAAACGAGGGCGACCCCGCTAACTGCACACTCCACCTGTGGGAACTCTACGTACACTTTGACCGCCACGCCATCGAGGGTAGTGAGAGCGAAAGAGGCAGTGGAGTGGCTTCAGGCAGAAAAAGGTGCCTTCCACGACTTTGTGACCTCCTTGTGCACTTC